AAAATTAGCCGATCTGAAATAACAGTTGGCTTTGTTTGAATGTCTTCTGTCAGAAGGAAAGCGATAACAACCTCTCAGACAATGATTTTGTTTCTGTCTGTTCATCAATCAAGTCATTTTGAAAGCACATTAAAAAACGTTTGTGAACGTTAGAACTTATTTTATTCTTAAGTTATTCCCCAAATGGGTATTTGCGTTATGCGGTTTTATATAGTGTAGAGACTGTTAGTGATAAACCAGATACTATGAAAAACAGTTCCTAGCTCGTGGAGTAAAGTATGGGTTGATAAGGAAGATATGGTTTAAAACGAGTTGACTCGGTTACATCGAGCATATGTGATTATTTATTTATTGAAGTAATATCTTCCTATATTACTTTCATTAATGAAAATTGTTCTCAAGCGGACACATTTTACAGTCTTAACCATCATTGTTGCTGTAAAGAGGTCATCAAATATTTTGAGGCACTATATCTATTTACAAAATTAGAAGTCTGAACTGAAATAGCATCATAGGACATCATCCGAATTAAACGTATTGTTGAGATCGTAATGAGATAACGTTCAGCATTTACAAAAGAACCTTTGATTAATTGGCTTGGTAAAACTCCTTTTAATTATACACTTGACAGACATTATGTAAAACCCTGATTGTTTTTATCTAAATAGTCAAATATCGAGGCAATTCGCACAAGAGACATATATGCCAATTAGAGACTGATCAATTGCAGTCCTTAATATCAATGAGAAGATTCAAACAACCAATACAAAAGTGAATACATAACAATGTCTATTATTTTTCGATTCTGTACAGCGAAATGTGGAATGACCCTAATCAATTTATCTTCATAATTGACCGATGAATATACTATATCCTTATACACAATCTTTTATATATTACTACCATTGAAGTAACTACCTCTACGAATTTGGTGTTCATCTTGTTGTGCTAGTGAGGTATGGCAACTTGGACGGATGCATATATGTGCTTGGTTTTACGTTGTGACTGACTGATTGATGAATATAACAAATATTATTGTATATATTGCCAATAAAAGCGTAATCAGACGCTAGTGTGTATCTGGTTTATGAATGATTTTTAAGTTTTTTTTAGGTTTGTGATCTATATATCACTTTAAATAACACTGTCTTTAATGTAGTATCTCAACCAAGTAAATCTAATTTATTGTTACTAATAAAGCTCTAAACAGTTTTAAGATTGTTTACATACATACATTTGTCTGGAAAATAGTTGGTTAACGACAAAAATGAGTAAAAAAACAACAAACTAGGTACTTTTCATAGATATCTTTATCAGTTTGTCCATTCCAGGCGTGTTTGTTATTCATTTCAATATTCAATCCCATGAGAGAAAAAGATAAAAGGTTTTCATTCATTCTTATTCACAGCAAAGTATATTTAAGGACAGTACGTATTTCGTAGTAATTGAGTTCTAAAAGATATTATTTTTTAAAACTCAATAATATAACAACAGACTTATTCACATCGTGTCATTAGACAAATGATAGTGGATATGAATTTCCAAATTTTACAACAAAACCTGTGAACCACTACTTCGAAACCTGAGTGATTTTGTAATATGATCTAAAGAAACAAAACTTATCATTTCCTTTTATTTTCCTTATGACTGCCAATTTTAAATTTAAGAATTCCTAAGTAAGGCCTAAATTCTTGTTACATACGAACGAATAATGAATAAATTATCGATCTTTTAGGCTATATGAATAATTAAAAAGTGAGTTATGGCAACAACCGGTAATTTTTTCAGTGGACAATTGAAAGACCCACTTCACGAAAATAGTTTCACACATACTGAATACATTTTGTTAGGAAATGCTCCAACAAATACAATATTCGACTAAAAGTACATCACAATAGTGAATTTTCAGGGTGAAACATTCTCATCGATTATTATCTGTTCAAAACTAAGGTATCAGATAACAGTAGTAAGTATTCACAGCCTTCAGTTCAAAACAATTATGGCATGTACTGTTTACTACAAATACAGATGATTTCTTGAACTTATCGGGTAATAAGCTGTATGTTTTGGGATTAACAGTGAACCTAGTCGTCATGAATCAGAGAATAGTATTAAATGAAGAACAACATAAAACTAAGGAAAACAAAATTTTATTTAGTTTGTAATAGTCCGAAATGTAACTGCATTATTAAAATGATATTTATAATATATACCTTAAAACATTATTTTGTCATTGGAATTAGAAACAATGGAAGGAACTAAATAAACAAAAATGCATCATGAACAAAGGTGGATGTTGGCTAGCAGTGGGATCCATGACATCCGTCTCGTTCTATTTAGGTCTCGTTGGCTGGATGTACCTGCATCCCAGAGTTGATGTACACTCCGGGACTCGAATTCAGTGCCGTTCGCTCGAAACACTATCACGTTATCCACTTAGCCACCGAGTCCCACTACTAGCCACTAGCCATCTGTTCTTTTAATACTTGTGACGTAATACAATATCGAGGCGATCCGTACAGGATGCACATATGCCAATTAGAGACTGATTAATAGCAGTCCTAAATATCAATGGGAAGGCTCAAACAAGCAATATAAAATGAATTAAAACAAGAATGCAAATTCATGTAACACATTATAAAATATACATATTTTGTGATACAAGTAACTAGGTAAGACGAATTCAATGGATTAATTGTTCATAAGTGTGATACTTCGAAATATAATAGGTAAAATCTGAATATAACTAAACATATTATTTCTGAGATAGACATTTGATCATGTTGCATTTTATGACAAATAAATACTTGGGTCAGTTTTGGTGAATTAATTCATAGACATTAACCTAATCCTTTTATATCGTATGTTTATCAAACAAGCATATTCTGGATATATGAATACTCTTTTTATGCAAATATGTTAAATTTTACTTAATCGTAGCACTTCAATATTTCCAGTTTACAACGAATAAAAAAATAATAGTTACTATTTCGGATGTCAAGCTTGTATATATATATATATATATATATATATATATATATATATATATATATATATATATAATTAAATTCTATATTTTTGTTATATAAAGATGATTGTTGACAACAAACTGAATGTCAGACTAAATAGTTTTATACCGCTTGTATAATAATAAACCTATACAACTGTTTAACGTTTAGATACCATGAAAAGAAATCAGTTTTGTATTTAGTTGCTATTAAAGACAAATATATCTTAAATAGATCAATTGAATATTATTTATATCTTGTTTTTTCTGCTTTCGATATCTCTTAATAACTTAAATGATTAGTTTATTTTAATAGTCTAATTTACTTTTGAAGTGTAATTAGATAGAAAAATAAAGATGAAGAGTTTTACTGTAGTGAAGTCTCTTACTTTATTCTTGTTAGTAGTCGTATTAAGGCTAAATCTAGGTATTTTTTTATGGCAAGTAGTAGTTAGTTCTACAAGCGTATTACAATTTTACTAATGTTTTTGCACTATTGTAAAATTGTTTAACATTAGATGTTAGTGAAAAATACAAATCTGATTTGAAATATATTTTATGCTGATAGGTTTCAAAATTTCCTCGTTTGGTGCCTGTTCTTCATGTGGATATTTACAAACAATTATTTAATTTCAAAAAGGTGTTTTTGTGGATAACATAGTAATTTAATAGTTGAAATCATGAACCATTTGAAGCTAGATCACCATGGAAAACCCCGAAGCACTGGACGGTCGTTTCGTTTTATTGTGGGACTTCTCCACGATCCCGCCTCACGAGATGAAAACCCAAGACCTATCGATCCCGCGCGCGATCGCTTCACTTCTTAACCACGAAGCAGGCACCCAATGATGTTAATGTCTAACTTCAACTAGTCCACGTAATTATTCGTTAAATTTCCTTTTGGTGAATTGAGATAACGGAAAAACAGTCGAACTTATATTACTTGAATTGCTATGAGCAATCAGAATCTGGTAGTATTATCTATAGAGCTGATATTGATTATAAAATTGAATTCAGTGTTTATCTAATCACATCTTTTGATTGCAACGTAAGTGTTTCCGAAATTAATTGGTTATAAAAAGTTTACATTGATTTTGTATCAGTTATAACGTCGTAATAATAAAAAATACTGATTTATGCATTTATCTCAATTTACGTCGTGGGTTGACTTAGACTAGGTAACCAGTGAAAACTACAGTGAACTAAATACTTAATTTTATCTCAGCGTGGAACTCTTGAGAAGTACCTAACTACAATTCTATCAAGCCCTGAATCAATAACCTTTAAGATTTGCAAGTAGGGAATCTAATTTTGTCAATGAGGTGGGTTTCAGTGGCTTTCATCTCTAACTTCAGTTAATTCCCTATATTGCGTGAAATTCATCTATTGTTACTGACAAAGCCTCTCTGATTCATTGAATGATTGAAATTTACCAATTGTAGCTTCACATAAGAACTTTAGTAATCTCTATCGAAGTAAGTCACTTATTAAAGGATTTTAGTTAGCCTGAATGGGTACTATCAGCTGTTTTATCTGCATAAATGTACATATGTTGCATTTTTAGATGTGTGTTTAATGCTCTCATTTCGTGGAGATAAATTACGATGATATTTAGAACAAAGCATACACTTTAACTCTTATCATTCATTCTCATAATTTGCTGATCTACACTCATTGATATTAGGACAAAACATTCTGTATTAACTGTGATGTCGATCAGCTGCAAGTTACCAGTTTTACGTTCTCATATGTATATTAGATCAGGAGTACTAGCTTAAAAATTCCTATTAAATAGTTAACCTCACTAAAACACCAATTAGAGAGGTAGATGACGCTTTCGTTTTTTAATCATTCTCACCTAGATTTGAGTTATAGCAAAATGTTACTCCTTATTTTAATGCCTCGTAAAAGGTTAAAAAAACAATCATAAGCATCCAGTTTATACAAACCATAGCCAACTTTTATAAAAGAACACTTTTGTCAAACAACTAACCTGGAGTGGGAGCACATTCGTTAGTATCAGCTATATGATTAGCTTCTAGTCTACTAAATCTGTCAGGATTCCATGAGCAGTAATCTTCTTCCAGACTCAGACTACTACCTTCATCTGATCCATTATCTTCACCTTTATTTTCACGTAATCTTCGTGGCAAGAAAGCGTCATCATCAATATATGGTACATCGTAGGCACCTTCTGGAATACCCTCCTCTAAACTTCGTACACTTATACTTTTGTCTACCTTAGATGGTGTTACTGAATCTGGATACAAGTAATCATCATTAACAGATGGTTTTGGTTGCAGGCGTCGTTTACGTCTAAATTCGTTGCGTTCCAGGGTTACTGATCTTTTTTTAACATCACTTGTATCTATATATGAGTATCTATTCTCATTAAATTTGGATTTACTATATCTGTCTAATGTTTTAGTTCGCCTTGATCTATCATTCTTTTTTGATTGTCTCTCAACTGGCAGATACTTTGCAATTAATTCTGCATAACGTTGTTCAAACTCGGTTCTCTGTTCACCTTCTGAATTCAGGCTTATCTCATCAACATCATTGCGTATCCTCCTAAGTGCCGTATTTTTATTCATATCATTTAAAGGTTTTGATTTCAGTTGGTTGTTTAACTCTTCCGGAGTTGATTCATTTTGATTACTTTGATCTCTTAATGATTGATGTTCTTCAAAATATTTGGGTGAAATGTTTTCTACTTCATAATTACTGATACTATGTTTATCACCATCATTAGAATGCCGCTCTGTTACGTAACATTCCACTGTTGACCTTTTATGTATTTTAGCGTTATATAATTCATCACCTTGAATATCTACAGCGATATTCAACGGTTCCGGTCTGTCATCTGTTAAGTGCTCAACTGTCTGTAACTCATTGATAAGATTTTGTGTAGCGTACAATAATGGACCACTTTCCAGGCCATTTTCTTCACATATGTCTTTATCAGATAATGAAATTCGGTTTTTTATCTCATCGATTTCAGTATGTTTTACGTCATTTATTGATGGAGAGTTAGTTTGTTGAAGATTTGATGAGTCACTATTCATCGAACACTGTAAGCGGTCTTGTTTTCCAACATTACCTTGATCTTCAGTATACAGTTTGGTTTTGTCATCGTCATAATCGTCTTTATTAAGGTAATCTGTAATGATGTCAGCTCTGAAATTTTGTTGTTCTGTCGTATGATTCAAACTAGGGGAAGGTGTATTTATGATATCACTGTTGTCTCTTTCTTTATGATGGGATTCAAATTCTGTAGTTGTCTGTTCTTCTACTACAGGAAATTCGACATCTTTTGAGTGGTCTACAAATGAAGTATAATCCATGGTATAAGATTTAGATGGTATATTGCATATTTCCTCTTCATTATGATTTACTTGAGTGTCTGACTGTTCGTCACTTCCATTATTTGGTTGATCAACTGATGTAGATATATCGTAATCAAATTTTGTTTCGATTTTCTCATGAGGTGTTTGAATAATGCCTTCAACACCACTTATACTAATCCCTCTTAGATTTTCATCTATTTCGTCATTTACATCATGTACAATAAAGTCAAACGGTATATCATTTTTATCAGTGGGAATGTGTTTACCTGGTTCAGTTAGACTCATTACTTCTTGTGGTGTGATTCTCTCAAATAACTGTTCGGATTTTTCATTTTCCTCAGTCAAGTGTACGTTTTCATGAATTTGAGGTATAACTTTTTCTTCAGTAAAATGATCAAACGACTCTTCGAGTACTGTTTCACATTTATTCTTGTCTATTTCATCGTTTTTCAAACTTGATAAACTTGTTACTTCTAAAGGACTATGTACATCAATCATGTCTTTACTTTCTCTTATATCCGAAAACTCTAACTTTGCAGCATTCATGTTACTTTCACCTTCTCGGTCGTCTATAATATTTGAATATGTCTCTAATTTATCACTAGGAGGGTGATTTTCTTCTACATATTTTTCAGTGGGATCATTGTAGTCAGTTATTAAAGCTGTAGGTTCTAACACTTCTACAGAGGTATGTTCAAGGAATTTACTTGTGTAAAACTCTTGATCACATTGATTACTGGACTTTGAAGATTCTAATTTAAGTTTTGTTTCTTTGTCGTCATTCATCTGAAATTCTGTAATATCATTATGAGATATTATCTTCTCGTTTACACATAATTCACTGGTATTATGTGATTCTTTATCATTATTCTCATTTACATTTGAATGTATTTCTTCACATTCTAATTTCAAATTATCACTGGATCCAATTTGTGTTAGATTTTGTGTTTCAACTTCAGTTATTAGACCATTTTTGTTATCTATGATATATTCACTTGATGATTCAGTTACGTTTACATTATCATGTTGATTTGAATCATCTAATTTATGTTCACTTGTCATTGAGAAAGGAATATCGTTGTCAGAACAATCTACAATATTTTGTTCTTCTTGATTTAATTCCTTATTTATCAAATCTTCAACATCATTATTAATTGTGATATTAGATGAATTTGCCATTACAGGATATTGTAATCTATTTAAACTGATCTAGATCAAGATTTATTGAATTATTTGTCAATTAAATCAATAAAGTTTGATTTATTTTATGGTTCTAATATAAAAAATTGATAACAATCTTTTGAAGAAAAAAAACATAAATTAAGAAGTTACACTATAAGTATTTTCCACAATTAAGTTAATCCACTATCACATAGATAGATCAATTCCACATGAGAAAGTTATATATTGAATTTTAATAAGGACAATCATCATGTCAATAATCATAATCATAATAATCTTAATATAAATATATTTAGAAACATTTTTATTATTAATCCATTATAAATGCAGATTATATTTTTATGTGTAATTTAATAATTTTCATTTTACTTTATTATGATTGGTCATATACAAATTTATGTAGTCAAGGGTATATACAACTTTACATTATCAATGAATAACATGTAAATAATTTACCAAAAATTCATTTCCGTTCTCTTTAATTTTGTAATACATATTTATAACCTAATAATAATAATAATTTTATGATTTAATTAAATAATATGAATCCTTGAAAGTGTTTAATTCATATTTAATCATAAGTATTATATAGGACAATCTTATTATTATTATTAGTATTATTATTATTATTTTAAATGAGCGAGCAATCGATGAAAAATGTAAGAAAAAAAACACTTTTAACCAATCAAATTGTTACTATAACTATTCTAACCAATCATATTAATCCGTTAAACCTTTTGATAAGAGTAAAGAAAAAAGAAAAAAACCAAACGAACAGAAACTTTTATGTGGCTTTTTTCTTTTTTTATTCTTTCTTCTTCTTTTTTTAAAATAGAGAATTGAGTATTCTGAAGTAAATAATTACTGAATAGATTATCACTTAATATTATTACATAATAATAAACTATTGGATAGTATTTTTTTAAACATAGATGGATTGTAGCTAGCAGTGGAATCCAGGATGCGCGTCCCATCCTATTTGGAACTAGTCAGTTGGATGTATCTGTATCTCAGAGTTGATGTTCACTCTGTGACTCGAACTCAGTACTATTCGCTTCAAACACCATCTCGTTATCCACTTAGCTACTCGCGTTATGGATTCCATTGCTAGCCACTATCCATCTTTGTTTAGATAGCTTTTGACTTAAGACTAATATCGAGGCAATCTGCACAGGATGCACATATGCCAACATGAGACTGATCAACTGCAGTCCCAAATAATAATGGGAAGATACGAGTAAAACAACACCAAGTGAATTTAGTGAATAGTATGTCATTTATTGTCATTTATTCAACAATCGACTTATGAAGTATAAATAATTTAATTCAATGGTGAACAATCATCTAATTCTTATGACATCAGTATAATAATCACTGAATACCTTTAATATTATATAAAGTCGATTTTGATATAATACATAAAGCATTGGAAGTTACTTACTAAATGTTTAGTTTGTTAAAATGATACTATTTTTTTGTAAATAGATTAATGTTTTCTGTCAAATAAAACATTCGTTTAGTTTGAATATATTGTCATTGTCATCGTTTTTATGATGATAGATTTTCTTTCTTGTCTTATATATATGAATGAAAAGAATTCAAAGAGGACAGAGTACTATTGACAAACAAATATTTCTGTTCTAAACTAATATATTATAATAAAGCAATTTATAGTTTATTTTTGTGTCCTTATTTTCACTGAAACTGTTTTCAAATGAAAATGGATTAGATATATTGAGAAGATACAAAAGATGTTGTTAAAACAACATAATTCTCTTGTTTTACATTAAGAAAAAGTAAGGAATGTTTATAATATCAAAATAAAAAAAAATCAGTCAGGTAACTAATGGTCGTGCAATACAAACCTTCGAATATTCTTTGGGTTTTTGACCTGTTATTTTTAGGACACTACATATAGTCGTCATGTTGAACCGTATGTTTTGGAAAAAGAAATATAATGACAGAAACATGTGTATATAAATTTGCAATGGACTAGAAACATTGTAGATTTGACAAAATCATTATGTTAAATGGACATGATTATTTTTACTCTAACAAAATCCCCACATAAGACAAAAAGTATGGACGCAAATGTTAAATGGTCAATTATCACCAGAGATTATTTGGAAGATGTAACTAGGGTAATGGAGAATATTTACAGCCTATGATAACTGTTTTGAAGTTTTCCCGTTCCCTAAGATGGTGCGAACCATCCATCACCTCCTAAAAGACCTTATTGAATATACATTTCTAAGGATGTCGTGTCTAATGTATCTAAACTGAACGTTGGATTTGATGTTTTTTAACATCATTGTAATATATTTTTCAAACCATTTTCGATGTTTCGAAACCAAACTTAAGACGAATGTTCTAATTATACGGGGTAAATAATCGGTTTTTTTAGTCGCAATCTTCATACTACACTTTACTGAGAATCGGTTAGGAAAATTTCGCTACAATTCAAATACATTCGTACACTGAATTAAAATATTTCAGTCAACTCGAACTCAGTACCATTCGTACGCGGATGAACAAGCTTAAAGTTTGAAAATGATACTTTTTCAATTAATATACAAATTATTGAAGTATATTTTAAAGAAATCAAATAACCTTTATCTAAAAATGTTTAACAGAACTGAGCTTAAAATTATCAGTGTTTAATGTTTATAAATATCAGTCGAAATATTTCTAAATTAAGGTGAAATAAACAATGAAATACAATTTACATTACTTTCTTTAACGGTTTTCTATCAGATAAACTTATTAGAACAAGAAACAAATTTCGTTTATTTCCATAGTAATTTAAGATCATTAATCAGCTAGACAATTTTAAAATGTTTATCTTATTCATAAATTTTTATTTAAACTTCTATTAGATTTAATTTAGTGGTTAGGCGCTCGCGTGTGATGCTGATAGGTTCTGGATTCGAATCTCGTCAGGCGGGATCGTGGATGCGTATTGTTGTGGCGTCCCATACTGAGACGAAACGACCGTCCAGTGGTTCCAGATTTTCCATGGTGGTCTAGCTTCAACTGACTCATGATCTCAACTATTAAATTACTATAATACCCACAAAACCCATCTGATATAAATTCAAAATAAATTGATGATTGAGCAGAAAGTTAACAATAAATATGTCCTTTTCTATATTCCAATGAATAGAAAAATTGTATTTCTGACGTTTCATGAATCAATGTAAGCCATTTCCTATTCTGAAGAAGTGGCTTACAATGAGTTAAGGAGCGTCATAAGTACAATTTTTCTACTCCTTAGGATATAACAGAAACCCTATATATTATTAGTATTCATAATCTTCGATTCACCAATGAGTACATGAATCTATTTTATTTTTGATATCGTCATTCTTTAGATGATTTTTGATCAATAGTATTCGATGTATTGCATATCTTCTTCAGCTTATTAAAAAGAACTGGATATGTTATGATTTATTATTATTGGCAGCAACAATAAAAAGTGAAATATACAAATCTCAAACTCAAGTTGAACACGAGTATAGTAAATAAATAGCATATTGTATGCATAAGTACTTGGTATGAAACAGATATGGTTACAGGTTTTAAATTCTGTATCATTTGAGAAATACCATAGTCTAAGATTTGAAAAAAAAATGAGGTAATATATTTATTTCATTATTCAGTATCTTTATTCTCATTATTATAATTTTGTTATGCAAATATAATAAAAAGAAACTGCTTAAAATATTATATGTAGAATTCTAAAATTGTTGTTAACAACCACTTGAATGGATCTTTTATAGTTTATATAAATACAAAAACAAAATTTACAGTTTAAATGTAGTTTCTGCAGATCTTTTCGACTTTAAAATCTTAATGTTACACGATCAGTGGATTTTAGTGGTTGGACATCGTATGTTTGTTGGTAAATTACTAAATGATCATCATGAATATATCATGTAATCGAGTAATATTGGATACTAAAAATTCTAAAACAGACATCTTTTTATTGTAATACCATTCATTTATTTAGCTTCGTGTACTGATCAATGTATGTACTCAAAAAGTACTCTGACATAATAGAATAGACAACTGTTGTCTCAGATCATTCAACATTGCTTTGTTTGAATATCAGTATGAACAATTGCTTCTGTTAGCTAATAATTTTAAGCTTAAAATGACCTAGGGTGATATTTTTCATTTCAGTTTTTAGATTATCTACATGGTATAACTATCCGTAAAACTAGTAATCTGTCCTGAAAAAGTCAAGAATTCAACTATGAAAACCCATTACGTAAAACCACCTCAGACAATTTAACCGTCATTTGGCGCTTTTCTCAGTTTATAGTTACATAAAAACATATCAAGAAGAACACTTTTAAGATGAAATAGTTTTCCATGCTAATGTTTCAATAACTGATTAAATTTTAGGTTACATTATGCTGTGTACAAAACCATTTGATAAACATTTGGTAAGACGTCTACTTTAGTGAAACAAAAAGGACGTTTTCGATAATTTCATCGATTTTATATTGATGAACGTATTCCTGTAAATTATCAAGAACATTTTTATAAGAAAAAGATTATGATAACCCTTTCAGTATTAAATTAACTTATCCGCTTCATTTAACAATGTAATAACAAAGAGGGATTTTTCGGATATTATAGTAATTTAATAGTTGAGATCATGAGTCAGTTGAAGCTAGACCACCATGGAAAATCTGGAACCACTGGACGGTCGTTTCGTCTCAGTATGGGACGCCACAACAATACGCATCCACGATCCCGCCTGACGAGATTCGAATCCAGAACCTATCAGCATCACACGCGAGCGCCTAACCACTAAATTAAATCTAATAGAAGTTTAAATAAAAATTTATGAATAAGATAAACATTTTAAAATTGTCTAGCTGATTAATGATCTTAAATTACTACGGAAATAAACGAAATTTGTTTCTTGTTCTAATAAGTTTATCTGACAGAAAATTGTTGGAGAGTGTAAATTGGATGTTGGCACATTGGTCTGCTGGTTAAGTGCTCGCGCGCGAAACCAGTAGTTCCTGGATTCGAACCTCGCAGTGGGCGAGGTTGTGGATGCTACTGCTTAAGAGCCCTATAATAAGACGAAACGGCCTTCCAGTGCTTCCAGGTTTTCCAGTGCGGTCTAGCTTTAAATGACTCATGATCTTAACCATTGAAATAATTTGGAATTATCAAGTTCACTCCTAGCATTGATGTTTGCAAACTTATTGATACTATTGTTCTAATTACAACATTTTCAGTAACAATGAAATACGTGTATATATATATATATATATATATATATATATATATATATATATATATATATATATATAGTTTAGATCTCCTAAACGTAGAACCAATGTATCGAGCATATTTTTCATCATTCAGAATCGGGCTTATTTTAATTAAGTCACGCATATAATTTAATAGATTTACAAACATCTATTAACCAATTACAAAATGTATCAAATCAGAAAAAGGTAAATAAACAAAGTTTTATTTTAAATAGGAATCTATTTTCAAGCTTTGATATCTTAAATCTTTAAATCGTACAATAACAAATTGGATGTATGACAATTACATCAAGATAAAT